CAGTACCGATATATGTAGATACAACTGTAACACTGACCAACAAAACACATACTTCACTGACCTGTCGTGACAGGAGCCGAATGCATGAAATCATAGAGCACAGGGATTAGTGGAAGGGAGTCTGTCGTGACGTGAACCTAGTAAGTGCTTATAGGTTAGCATATGCTACCCGTAGCTTTTGCTTACTCTTTTCCGGATAGCTTTGATGTAGTGTTTTCCCGGATTTTAAGATTTTTTTATTCACTTCGATAATAAGCAAACACTTAACTGCCTAGCATATGCTAAGTTAGCAAATGCTTGCTTTTATTGACACCACCCATTATATAATTCATTTTATTCTACTATTGCAAAATAGTCTGCCAATCTAATAGTAAATATATAATAATACACAAAACTTATAAAAATATCTATTAAAATTTTTTAGATGACAATCAGAAAAAAAATACATTTTACACATTTATTAAAAGCACTAAAGTATAGCTTTTTTTGGCAGCATTTCCGCTTTGAAGTATTACTTTTTTGGCCGCATTTACTTTACGGCCGCTTTTTATAAACACTAGTTTATCATACTTATCGTTAGTAATTCCGTATATATTCTATTACCCCGAATAAAAATTAGTAATTTCCATACGATTCACTTTACTCTTACATTTGTATCTGTAACGTGTAGAGGGTAAGTTGCCTCACGGCACTTAGGCCTCACTAGGCTCATTGTGCTTCCTCTTAAATGGGGCCTTTTTAGCTGGTCAGCCTGCCTATAGATTTGATTAGGTATACATTTTTGGAATGCAATATTTGAGGAAAATAAAAAAATCAATAATGTACAAGGTATTCTATTTAAGAAACATAAAGGGGTGGCCATAAGAAGGAGAGGGTGAAAGTTACAATGAGTATGTATGAGCAAAAAGACTATATATGATTTTTTGCCCATTTTTGTGTTTGTTCATGAAAGCTTTTTTAAAATTATTTAGGGTGGATAGTTGTCATTGAATTCCCTGTATATAAAAAATTAAGAAGAAAGAAAGTGGCTTTCATTTCATTCAGACTCATTCAATCACAGCACCAATTACTACAAAACGTTTATCAGAATAAAACTAAATAAACAAATAAAATTCTAACAAGAAATTACCAGATAATAATGAGAAAAAATTATATTTAACCATTACTTTCCTTTTTAATGGCAATTAAAGTCCTCCTTCATTTACTTAGTTGCAATTTCAAAATAAACGAGAAACAAGAAGCAACAATATCATAATACTCGAGCATTCACCATTGTTTTTGCCGCTAATGGTTTGTATTCTGGTTTCTCAACACTAACTGCTGAATTTCTAATTAGTTAGGAATCAGATTCATTCGTTACTACAATTATATAAATGCCGTAGTCACGAAAGGTATGTCAATCATAAGAATACTTCTATTAATTGCATAAAAATTATGAAACCCCGCGTTCTCTAATGATCTAACGATGTTCGTTTTACAACGGTCATATTGTGTTTGAATGTAATAATGAGTAATATCCTATATCCTGTTAATTAAGTCCATACGTGATTTATACAGGATGGATTATAACTAATAGGACATCGAGTAACCAAAATATGAAAATTAGACCAAATATGCCACAGTTAAATATTTCTGTGCAAAAGATGCAAGGTTAAAGTTGAAATAATTTTCGATTTTTGGTAACCATTTCACACCTCTTTATAAACTAAATGAAGAAGGGAATCTAAATTCTCAAGTGTGACATTATTAAAACTCAAAATCTAGTCCCATAGAAATTAATATTAAATTAGGTACTATATTTTCTCTGAAACATTACGCAAACTTCGCAAATGTACTAACAATTCATTGGTGTAATGTGTAAACGCACGCACCACCCATGAGAAAATTAATTGTGTAAACGCACACACCATATACTTCAAGTAAAGAAGTATTAAGACAGAAGGTAAATGAAAAAACCATTGTCATACACTCAGACAGTCAAGCGACGTTAAAAGCACTCAGTTCCAAGGCTTGTGTGGGACTGTTTGGAAGCCCTGACAGAGCTGGGTAGTCAAAACAGACTAACCTTAGCCTGGGTACCAGGCCACAGGGGACACAAGGGCAATGAAGAGGCTGATTTACTAGCCCGAGAAGGAGCCTCAAATGCTCTTATCGACCCAGAACCCTTCTGTGGTGTAACAAAAACAACTATCAGAACATGCACAAAGCAATGGATGTTTAAAAAATCTCAGGAGTGGTGGAAAAACTCACCAGGACAGAGACAGGCCAAAAAGTTCTTAAAAGGACCATCGTCTAAACTCACCGAGCATCTACTAAGCCTTAATAGGAAAAATACTAGAATACTAGTAGGTCTATTAACAGGGCATTGTAGGCTTAACAAACATATGTTCAATATCGGTCTGACAGAAGAGGCCTTGTGCCGATTCTGTCAAGAAGAAGAGGAAACGGCAGAACACGTATTGTGCTACTACGAAGGTTTAGTAAGACTGAGATTCCTTACACTTGGAGAAGAAAAACCAAGGGCAACTAGCTATACCGGAGAACTACTTCCCAGTCTATGGAGTCTACTACAAAAGACCGAATTAGACAAGGTACTCTAAACAATGATTAAAGGATATCCACAATAGATCTGAAAAGGTCGAGGTGGGGTAGGCCACATGGCCCATAGTCCTAATTAAATCTAATCTAATCTAGGATTTTTGGACGTCACTAGCGCACGATCTGCAGATGCATTGTTTAAAATTGTTTGTGACATTATTTTAAGTTTAGAATGTGGTTCTAAGCTTATTGCCCAGAGCTACGATGGTACTGCCGTAATGGCTGGCCATTTAGGGGGCCTTCAAGCTAAAGTGAAAGAGAAGTTTAAACATGCAATTTTCGTTTACTGCATAGCACATAGACTTAATTTGATTTTATCGCGAAACATGGATAATATAAAAGATTCAAACGTTTTCTTTTCGACGCTTAGTGGTTTGGCTTCCTTCTTTTCAAAGTCATTTAAAAGAACTCGCGCTTTGGACATTCACGTTCAAAAAAGGTTTCAAAAAGTTGCTCCGACGCGATGGAACTACAATGGACGTTTAGTGCAAACAATGTTTCAATACCGTGATTCTTTGATACACTTTTTTCAAGACGTTTGGGATAATAAAGAAACATGGGATAATAAAGAAACATGGGATGCTGAAACTGTTATTGCCGCTAAAGGGTATTTGCATTGGCTCAAACAAAACTTTGACTTCAATTTTTTGCTCACTACTTTTGCAGATATTTTCCCTTTTACTAACATTTTATTCGACATTTTACAGACAAAGTCAAATGACATTGGCTTTTGCGTTAAACAAATTGATGATTTTAAAAATAAAATGAACAAGAAACGAGATCAGTTTGAACACTTTTGGAATAAGACTCAAAACATTGGCTTAGAACCTGAAAGAAAGAGAATTAGAATTGATAATGTCGGCGACAGAGAAACCTCCTATCGTCAATTATAAGCCGAAAATTTTGATAATATTTTACAACAAATGAACTCTCGATTTCAGAATTTTAACGAATTAAAATTTGTTTAATTGTGCAATTTTAATATTAGTAACTACGATTCACTAAAATTAAATTATGGAAATTGTTTCGATATTCCAGCATTAAAGTCCCAGTTAAGTGTTGTTTATGAAACAACTGCAATTAGTGATAAAAAGACGCCCATCAATGTGTTAAATTTTCTTATAATAACTGGTTTAAATAAGTCTCTTTGTGAAGTCGTCAAGTTGTGTGAATTAGTACTAACCATCCCAGCCACAAGTGCGTCAGTTGAGTGAAGTTTTTCAGCCATAAAGCGCATTAAAAATTTTATACGAAATTCAACAAGTGAAGACAGACTCTCTAATTTAGCCCTAATATTTATTGAAAAACAGCTTGTTAAACAGTTATCAGAAAATCCAAAATTTTACGACGATGTTATAGACAAATTTGCAGCCATTGAGGATATGCGAATAGATCTTAAGTATAAATAAATGTCAACTGCTGTGTCAACTGTGCGAAAAATGTTTTTTATAGCTTCTAGTACTAAACTAGGTAATAAAGTAATAGTAACACTGCGGCGCTGTACTTACTGGCCTGCTGTATTTTTATACGATCGCTTTCCCTTCCAAAAATGTTATCGCACGCCACTGGTATGCAAATATAGTATGGAATCTTACTCAACAAAGTTTAATACACTCTTTGAAAACGATACAAAACAAATTTATTAAATGTTTATACTTCAAAAACCATGGATTTAATGCAGAATTTGCGTCATATAATCACATTAGAAAAGAGTTCAACTTAATCTTAAATATCGAAGAGTTATTAGTAATCTAATATTCCTTTACAAACTACTAAATTGTTTAACTGATAGTTCTAACCTAGTATCTCGAATTAAGTTGTATGTCCCACCACCGGGAATGCGTCCTAGTCAATTATTGTTTTTAATTACAGACAATAAACAAATAAGTAAATTTTGTCAATTATATAATACTTTGAATTTTACCTTAGATATTAATGTCACAAATACTTTAAGCTTTAAACGGCAGTTAAAAGAGATATATTAATAAACTGTTTTTATATTTCTCTATCTATATATTTCGCAGATATTGTGTTTTTGGTAATACAATTGTTTTTTCTCTTATTAATTAAATATATCTGGTAAACAGATATAGGGTAAATTTCGCAATCTTGGCATGTTTTAATTTCATTTCGGATTTGATAGTGAATAATCCTGACTTGTTTATTTTTTGTCATATTTAGTTTAATAATTATTGTTATTACTTTAATAGAAACATGTAATTAGGCTACGCCTGTTTGTTTCTTAAATAAATAAAAATGTATATGTGCAAGTATAATGTTTTCCTCTAAGTCAATCCTGCACAGTCTAGCATTCTGCGAATCCTTTTGTAATCAATAACACATAAAATATCCGTTCCTTTCAATTTGCCGATATTGTTATATAGATATTAAAAAAATATTACCTTCTTCCGGGATTTTTTTATTACTGCTCACTGGAATGACTTCTCTTAGACGTGGAAGATTTGTCGTCGTTATTGGAGTTGTTCGTATTTCGTGAACCATATGTACAGGGGTTTCTAATTCCAAATCTGTCTTTCTGTAACAATAATAGATCTTATAGAGCGACAGCCATCAACTCTCAGACTTACGGTGTAGTATCTTAAGATTTTTGAGTGTGTACTAACAATAGGTATTATGTTATGAATTTTGAGTAAGGGGTTTCAGCTGGTAATAGATAGTCAGGGCTGGAACTCTGTGTCATGTAGAATTCTACTTATTGCTTTTTACAATGGAATTGATTACTTTCTTTTGTGATAAATACGTTATCAACCGCACGGGAAATATCGCAATGTGGTTTCTTATGAAACTAGTTATCCTGTAGTAAGTATATACTCGTTGGTTTTCCGCTATGTTACACAGAGTGCCACAAAAGAATCTATTGTAGAAAGCGATAAGTAGAATTCTACATGACACAGAGTTCCAGCCCAGGCTACATACAAATGTTGGGGTTGAACATGATATTATTAAATCTAATTTTTTTTATATGTTCAACTCAATACAATAACATTATAAACTCTAATCAACATTTGCCAGATACTTTTCGTTGTTATTGTGATAAAATAACCTAACCTAAAAACTGTGCATATGCTTGTTATTTGGGTCTATAAAATTTCGTGTTTTCGGGAGTTTAGAATTTAAGAAATTACTCAAAAACTGCTGGATAATATAATTGAAGTGTACCGTTTATCCTGTTCTAATTTTTTCGCAAGGAACCATCATTCTGCTCAAGTTTTCACTAGTGTAAATACATTGAGATTAAGATGCCAAAAATTTCAAAATGTAAGAAATTCTCTCTCAATATTGTTGATGATGGAAAGGCGCCCCGTTGCGATAGCTGTGGGGTCTTTTTCCATTTGGATGAAAAGTGCTCTGGATTGTGTGCCAGGGAGCAGCGTTCAATTGTTGTTCAAAAACGCTCAATGACCTTTTTCTGTGAAGACTGCAAAACTTCCTTCAAGAAAATTTCTCTATTGATAAATAAATTAGCTGCTCTAGAGAGCAAAGTTAATTCCTTGGAGGACGAGGTTACCAGCATTGAGGAGAAAATTCAAACTTTAAAAACTGAGGGCTCTAGTTTGCTAAACTCTGACTCAGTATCTTACGAAATTCATGATCGCATTACTCGAGCAAGCAACTTGATGGTCTACAATGTTAAAGAATCATCTAGTACTAAATTGCAAGACGGATTGATAATGATATAGCTGGTTTGGTACCTGTTTTTAATCAATTGGGCTTGAATTCTAGTGATGTGGTCAAAATTATACGGGTTGGCAAGATGGCCCAGGGCAGATCCAGACCTATTAAAGTTATTACCACAAATTCATTTATTGTAAAGAATGCAATGAGGTCTAAAAACAAGATTACTGATGGAATTAAAATTAGTTACAATAGAAACTAAACTCCAGCAAGATCAGTTAAAAGAGGTTATGTCTGAACTTAAGGAAAGAAAAGATAATGGTGAACTTAACTTATCAATTAAATATGTGCGGGGTGTGCCAATTATTGCAAAGAACGCTGCATCAAAAAACTAAAATTCTCTTCATTATCGGTGTATTACCAGAATGTTGGTGGCATTCGTACTAGGCTTGTTGAATTACGTACCGCAATTGCCCAATGTAAATATGATGTTATTGTTCTGGTGGAGTCGTAGCTGACTGATAATTTCAAGGATAATGAACTCTGCTTTAGCGGTTACAGGGTCTTCAGAGCAGACAGGAACATACATACTAGCTCAAAAACCAGAGGTGGTGGTGCTTGATTTTAGTTAAAAGTAAATATAAAACATCACATCTTACTACTCAGTTTATTAATGTTAAACATTTATTTATTTCATTGTCGATCAATAATGAAACTATTATTTTTGGCGCTGTTTACATTCCACCAGGGTTAAATCATGATGCTTATATTGATGATTGTTCTGCTGTTGAGCATATAGTGGAAAACAACCCTAACAATAAGCTATACCTTTTTGGGGACTATAATATGGTTTTTCTGTCTCTTGCCCTGCAGAATATCCAGCTGTAATAATTAGTGAGAGTTTTTCCTACTTGAATTTGAGCCAGGCCAATGGACGGTATATTCATCGACTTATGTTTTTGTAACAATGACGCTAGGAATTCGGTTACTATCAAGACAGCTGTAGACACCTTATTGCCTAATAACTTCCACCATGTTGCAATTTCATGTGAATTAACTGTCAGTGATATTAGTCCCTTGTCTTGTGACATTGTTTTTTATGACTTTAAAGAAGCGGATTATGTAGCTTTAAATAATTATTTTGCTCCAATTAATTGGGAGGATATTTTAGTCAATAATGATATTAATGTTAGTGTTGAAATTTTTATCAGATTTTAAATTTGGCATCAGCTTTATTTGTACCTGTTAGGAGATATAAACCATCAGTATAACCTAGATGGTTTTCAGCTGAACTTAAAAAGTTGATTTCTCGCAAGAAGGCAGCTCATGATGTATTCAAAAGTACTCGCTCAGCTGTTGATTACTTAAGTTTTTCTAACCTTCGGTCTCAATGTGAATTATGAAAATTATATTTCTGGTATAGATCTGAAGGTTTGTAAAAATACAAAATATTTTTTTAACCACATTAATTCTTTGAAACAAGACCATGGTATTCCCAAAAGAATGTATTATAATGATACAATTGCTGATAATGGGAAACACATCAGTAATTTGTTTGCTACGAATTTCACCAGTGTTTATAAGAAAGATATTGTAGAGGAGCCAAACCTTCATTATAATGCTTTTAACCAGCCTGATATTCCCTTTATACAGTTTTCCTTAAGTGATGTTTATGATGGTATTAACTCCCTAAAAGATAAATTGAGTTATGGTCCAGATGGAATCCCTGCTTATTTTTTGAAAAAATGTAAATTCACTCTTTCCAAACCACTACAGTTTTTATTTAATTCCTCTTTAAAATTACAACAGTTTCCTGCAAAATGGCGTGATAGTTTCATTACCCCCATATTTAAAAATGGTCAGAAAGATGACATAGTTAACTATTGCCCTGTAGTTTTACTTTCTGCAATACCTAAATTATTAGAATTATTGTTATATAAACCTTTGTCATGGCATTGCAAAAACATTTTGATTGAACAACAGCATGGGTTTATGGGAGGTAAGTCTACCAATACAAATTTACTGCTCTACGAACATTATATCATTTCTGCCTTCGAGAGGGGGTGTCAGGTTGACTCAATTTACACTGACTTCTCGAAGGCATTTGACACGGTGAACCATGATATGCTTTTAAAGAAACTAGTGAAATTCGGATTTCCAAACTACTTAGTGAAATGGTTAGAAAGTTACCTGCAATACAGGGTTCAATATGTCAAAGTTAGAAGTTTTACTTCGATTTCAATAAATGTAAGTTCAGGTGTCCCCCAGGGATCTCATTTGGGACCATTACTATTTAATATATTTATTAACGATGCGGCTTTAAGATTTAAATATTGTAAGTTCTTACTATTCGCCGATGACGAAATTATTCATGGAAATCTTAAACTTACCTGACTGTGTAAAGTTAGGGGATGATTTAAACTATTTTATTAATTGGGCTTTAAATAATGCCATATCTTTAAATTCACGTAAATGATTTTCAATCACCTTCACAAGATCAAAAACCCTATAAATTTTCTTTATAATATCAATACTATTGTTTTGGAAAAAGTTAGTGAAATCAAGGATCTAGGTGTGATCTTCGATAGTTCTTTAACATTTGTTCCACACATGAGATCCATCATTAGTAGAGCTCTGAAAACATTGGGATTTGTGACCAGGAACTGTACGGAATTCTCTGTGCCTATATTCCGAACCCTTTACTTAACACTAGTGCTTATATGCTTCACCAGTCTGGTCACCTCATTACCGGATTAAATTTAGAACCAGTTCAAAATAGGTTTCTAAGAACTTGTCAGTAGAGGTTACATATGCCTTATCTTTCTAAGAGGGAGCTTAATAATTTAAACTTATTGTCAGTTGAGAAAACGTTAATTAGTAATGATCTTATATTTTTTATAACCTCTTAGAAGGGAATATAGCTTGTCCGGATATGTTGGGGCTAATAAACTTTAGATTAAACAACATAAATATTAGAGAGGAACCATTATTTTCAACTAGCTTCCATCATACGAACTACGGACTCAACAGTCCTTTAACCAGATTTCAAAGGCAAGAAAATGAAATTAACAGACACACTGATCTTTTGGGAATTACTTAGTCGGTTTAGGTTTAAAAATCAACTGAGGGAGTACATATCGAGTTAGCTTTAGCTCTAAGTTTTTTTCTAAGTTTTTTGTGATATTTAAGAAATTTAAGTTTTTTTTTTCTTTTTGTGTGATACTTTAGGTTAGGTTTAAAATATGTACTGATAATAATTATTTTGTAAAAGGAGATTTTCCGTAAATAAATAAAATAAAATAAAATAATGCGATTCCAATACGATACACCATATCTACGTATTAAATCAAAATTAAATTAAATACTATTAATTCTAAGTTTTATATATTTTGAACTATTATTTAACAATTTTGTTCGAGCAACCGTTATGTCTAATATCCCTACAGACCCAAAAAAAGGTCAGTCGTAAGAAATTATAAGAAGCCAATAAGAAATGAACATTTTTCGCATATTATAAAAGTTTTTTTTTATAATCAAACTTTTATTTTTAACTAAATTTAATGTTTTAATAAATATTTATCGATTTGAAAAATACTGGTAATAAAGAAAAATAGGTAACAAAAAAATATTTAATGAAAGATATGGAAAATATTTGAATTTTAATATATGACCAGGGGTACATATTGGGGGGTAATGGGGGTAATTACTTCCAAGAATTTTTAAATCTAACTTGTAATAGGTACTAAAATGTATTATTATCAAAAATAGGTTCTTAAATATTACCACTACCCCCCTGGCTTAAACTTTATTAATACTGCCCCCTAGACTTAAACTATGGATGCGCCACTGTATGTTATTCTCTATTTGTACGAGTACATTTTTATTATATTAATAAAAAAT